AAAGGCATCTTTAGTTGTGTATTGTTGATTGTCAGGTGTGTTGAGGTGATCTTCTTCAGTTTTTGCGGGCTTTGGAGGGGTTTATCTTGGGTACTGAAACCACTCAGTTGAATAGTAATCAGAATATAGATGATATACTGGGATCTTAAGAATAGCCGCGACTGTTACTGTATGGGTGCAGTGCCCAAGGTTTATCGGGTGACCAAGGCCCTTGTTGCGGTTTGTTCCGTAGGGGCCTTGTTGAAGCTACTGAGAGTTCTATAGCTTCCTTTCGGTGTAAGGGGTCTTTCAGATTTCGATCTGTTCTAGAGCAGAATCAGAGCCAAGCTTTCTCCCGCGACTCGGCAGCTTCGTCACAGCACTCTGGGTGCCGAGTATTCCAGCGACGAAGCAGCTGACGGACCTGTTGATCTTTGCGGAGCTGTTGCTTCGCTTACCAAGCATGTACTGGCGAGCGGTTCAGCCAGCACGGGTGCGGCATATGCATACGCTGTGTGTTCCGTGCCTGTGCAGACTCAGCCACCTTTTCGTATCCCTACCCATCGGCCCCAAAGTAGTTCCTTTTGGGGGTTTATATTTAGAATCCTATAAGGTTTTCCCAAAAAGGAACTACTATGGGACCTTTGGGTACTGCTCTTGAGCCGGCCCAAGGCCTCCAAGCCAGTACCAGTATTACATTAGGGGTACTTAGAAATATTTTTTCATTTTTGGTTCTTGGAACCCCTAAGAAACAGCTAAAATTGTAATTGTTGCTGGGGTTTTAAGTTCAGTATAGTTACACCGTTTTGGGACAAGTGCCTGCTGCGGCTTTTGGGCACGAGACAGCTGCGTGTGGCGGAAGCGGACGTCACCTTGGATTTCCGCATTCCTTCCTTATAAACCCTTAAATCCCTCAACCCTAAACCCTAAACACCTAAACCTTGAACCCTTAAACCCTAAACCCTTAAACCCTAAGCCCTTCAACCCTAAACCCTTAAAGCCACTGCTTCGTGGGCCTTAGAGGCTTTAAGCTCCAATCCCCAACCGACCCGAAATCCAGAAACCCTTCATGATCTGGGAGTTCGGTTTAGGGCTTACGGTTTCGGGTTTAGAGTTCTTGTGGTTAACTAACTCTTAGGACTTTAACTTTTCGGGTTTCTATATGAACCGTAATAAGCAGGCTAAAAGTTTCACTTTTAGGAGGGGTTCAGAAGCCGGCGAAGTTTTGTTTCCTAACAGCTGATCGAAGTTAAGGGTTTGCGGAACAACCCGACCCGATGCAACACATAAGCCCAAGCAGAAACTCGAAACAGCACCCCGAACCCTCTCCCAACACAGCCTGCAAGCCCCTGCTACTTGAAAAACCGAGACGCAGGGATCGCAGTCCCCCTCTCCTGTCGCCCGGGCTGTCTCCAGCCGGGGACCTCGAAAAGTTTTCGCAAGACCTGCCGGTTGAGGGCTTCCGGTTTTCTCGCGAGCTCGAAACCGCACAACAGGTACATTTTACAGGACACACAGTAAAATCAAGGATATACTTTACTTAAACACTTTACTATCTCGCAACGCCGTCGGCTGATTGGGCGGTTCATGTTCTGAGTGGAAACTGTGGCTCTACTTAAGATAGTCTTCAGGATGTTCGTGTTACTTCCTGTATAAGTTCTCCAAAGCCTAGTTGTTAAGTTACCGTCGCAGTCATAATCACCATCGCAGCTCTCGTGCTAGTCATACTTTAGTGATGGCAATGGTCAACAGATTCTATTGGCCACTGCAGTGACCAGCAATTAGCGAGACTCAACAGATCAGACTAACGGTAGTGACGTCATTCCCAAAGAATCCAGAAGCTCTTAAAATATTCATGAATAGACCTTAAATCATATAAGGGTTCCTACCACACCTAAGGGATGTTCCTCAGTTAAGGGGATGCTGGAGTTTCTGCGTTCAGACAGAGTTTGAAATCATAAGCGCGGAGACGAACAGCCATGTGGGCGACTTGGGTTGAGGGTTTAGGGGATTCGGACATGAAAACCCTACAACGCGGAGCCCCGACCAGCGGTCAATCCTAGACTTATGACCTCTAAACTTGCAACCGTAATCCGTAAGCGCGAGAACCGTGTCCCGAAGCCTACTAGGCTGGTAGACCCCCGACCCAGAGATTTCAGCCCAATTGCCGAAATCCTGTCCCCTAAAAATTATGGGGTTCAGGGTCTAGTGTGTAAGGGTTTAGGGAATCGTTACAAACCCCCCCCCCCCACTCCCAACTCTCAGAGCTAAAAGTCCAAACCGCAACCCCGCAACGCCACACCCCAAAACAATTCCGAACCCCAAACCTTAAACTCTAAATCCTTAGCCCCACACATGAAACCCGAAACCCTAAAACTCAGAATTTTCCAGCTCAGGGCCCCAAAGTTATCGCCCCTACCTTAAGAAACCCCTCCTGCCCATATGAGCAGCTCAAGACATGCAAGTTTACTTTATGGTTTAGAGTTTAGGGTTGAGGGGGTTTAGGGGGTTTAGGGTTTCGGGTTTTAGGGTTCAGGGGGTTTAGGGTTTGGGGTTTAGGGTTCTTCTGGTTGACTCTTAGGACTTTAACTTTTTGGGCTTCTATATGAACTATACGAACTATAATAAGGAGGTTTAAAAGTTTAACTTTTAGGAGGGGTTCAGAAGTCAGCCAAGTAATGCAGCACCGGAAACATTAGGATCCTTATCACAAGGACTCGAAAATAAGGTTTCCCCGAATTTTCGGAAACTCTAAACCCCCATAAAGCCCTTTAGAGGAACCCTTATAGTACCCTTAGAGTAACCCTAAACCCCTAAACCCTAAACCCTGAACCCCTAAACCCCGAAACCCCTAAACCCTAACCCCTTTAAAGGAGCCCGTATAGTAACCCCTTTAAAGGAGCCCTTAGAGTAACCCCTTTAAAGGATCCCAAAGGCCCTAAAAGGTACCCCTAATTTTGGAAATGAGGCGACTCCCTACCGGCCGACATCCCACTGAAGCACGCTCCCGGCGAGGCCCCAGTCTGTCGGTTTAGGACTCCTTTAAGGGGTTAGGGTTTAGGGTTTAGGGGTTTAGGGTTTAGGACTCCTTTAAGGTTCCTTTAAGGGTTTCTTTGAAAGGGTTCCTTTAGGGGTTCCTTTAGCGGTTCCCTGTAGGTTTTCTTTGAAAGGGTTCGTTTAAGGGGTTCCTTTAGGGGTTCCCTTTAGGGGTTCCTTTAAGGGTTCCTTTAGAAGGGTTCCCTTAAGAGGATCCTTTCGGGTTCCTTTAGGGGTTCGTTTAGGGGTTTCTTTGAAAGGGTTCCCTCTAGGGGTTTCTTCAAGGGTTCCTTTAGGGGTTCCTTTAAGGGTTCCCTTAAGGGGTTACTTAAGGAGTTCCTTTAAGGGTTTAGGGTTTCGGGTCCACTCGGAGGTGCAGGGGACTTCGTACGCTCCGCACAAAGCAAAAGTCTGGCGGTTTAGGACTTCGATGGCTCCGAAAGGGCAGGTTCCTCGAAGGGCAGGTTCCTCTAGTCTAAGGGTTTAGGGTTTAGGGTTTAGGGTTTAGGGTTTAGGGTCCTATAATCGGTTTAGGGTGTAGGGTTTAGGGTTAAGGGCGTTGTAGAGGTTTGGGGCTTAGGGTTTAGGAGACCCCCGGAGGATCCAAAAAGTAGATCCCTTGCTTTGGGGTTCCTCTACTACCAAGGGTACTTTATAGGAACCCCCAGTTGAGGGATCTACCTTTTTGGATCCTCCCGTGGGTCTGGGGGTGTCATAGAGGTTTGGGGCTTAGGGTTTAGGATCTACTTGGAGGTTCAGGAGACGTAGCAAGTAGGGTTATAAGTAAGGTAACTATAGTTTTATCTACAATTGTTATTTCAATTACGGTACTCTAGGACTCTTAGCAGGACGCGGTTCGAGGTTTAGGGTTTATGGGTGTGTACTCGGGTTCTGCGGGTTAGTCATGGTTCTTCTTTATGTGTATAAAGTGTTGTCGTATACGGGGTCCCTGAAAAATTTGCGATACGCAATATAATACAGTGATACTTGTCAGAAGAGCGATGCCGGTGATATGCACCTTGATGGTGTGCATGAGTAACTCTGGGTTAGTAAACCACGGCAGACTTTTTGTGGCGAGGGGGGTCTCTTTGTGGGCTGTGTAAAGAAGTTTGACTTTTTGGAGGACGTGGTTCAGTTTCTGCAACGGATCGCTAATGAAGGTGCTGCGACGAGGCGGACTCTCACTATGATGATTACTACCACGAAACTTGCAGGTCGTGCTGACCAAGCTCCAGTCCCTGGCAACCTCCAAAGCGTGGGCACCCAGTTGCGGGCGTCTGGTAAGGGAGTCTAAAAGTAACGCTTGGTTTTATTGAACTAAGTTGTTGAGTGGCGTCTGGGTGTTCCTATTATTCTTGCCTGAGTAGCCTGAAAAGCACATTCGTTCGTCCCCAATGGGTTGCTGAACAGCGTTGTCAAGGGCTGTTGCAGGGTTGAGGGTTCAGGTGGATTGATAATTCCTCCATAGGCTTCAGACGGTTGACATAGCGGTTTATGTGCTTTACAACTTGAGCTGTGCGTGTGGGTAGACTCCAGCGAAGTAGTGGCATTGCCACTTGGTACTGATAGTGGTACTGGCACCAGTAGCCGTAGCAGAATAGTAACAGAATAAGTTGCATGGCAGTATCATCGCAGAAGAATTCGAAGTAGTAGTCGTCGTCGTACTAGTAGTCGTAGACCTGCGTAGTCGTCGTCGTAGTCGTAGTCGCAGTCGCAGTCGCTGTAGCAGTAGCAGTAGCAGTAGCAATAGAAGAAGAAGTAGTAGTAGTAGTAGTAGGAGTAGGAGTAGGAGTAGGAGTAGGAGTATCAGCATCAGTAGCAGAATCAGCAGCAGTGGCACTAGCAGTAGCAGTAGCACCAGCCGTCGTAGTTTGTTTGGGCAACTACTGAAAAGTTGGAAAGAACTGTAAAACCCAGAATTCCTGAAGCACATGAAGATCCATTGCAAAGCCCTTCTTGAACCTATCTAGAACCCTAAGCTGAAGGAGAAGAGGAAGCAGACGGAGTTTGTGTCGGAGCTTTGTGAACGAACTTGGGTCCTGGCGACAGACATGAAGGCCAGGTTTTTGATCAGGTGTTCCCTGAGCTCTGTTTTGAAGGTGTTTATGGGCGTTGATGTTTTTTTTGTATAGTGCTTTGTTAGACTGTAGCGGGATTCTGAAGGGGGGTGGTATGTGCTTTTAGAGTGTTGTTGGGCTTGTTGAGTTTTTTTGTTTCCGGGCTCAGGATTTTCAGGTCTTAGGTTGTGGCTTCTGCTATTTCACGCTTGTAGTTAAGCCCTAAAACCCCCAAGCCCAAACCCTAAACCTTCAACCCTAATGCATCCTAATCACACAAACACATAAACCCTAAACCCCAAATACCTAAACCCCAAATCCTAAGCCCGAACACCTAAACTCGAAACTTAACCCCAAGCCCTAGTAGTAGAGTAGGTAACCTTTAACCTTTTTTGGGTAGTATAGCCCCTATATAATCCCTATATACCCAAAAAAGTTAACCTTTAGTTCCCCATGACACACTAAGCCCTAAACCCTAAACCCTATACTCTAAATCTTAAAACCTAAACCCTAAACTTAACCTGTAGGAAACCCCGACCCAACCTTTCAGTACCGTGCAGCGTGCAGCCGCTGCTCTGCCTGTCGAAGGTAGAAGCCAGAAAGTTGGAACATGACTTTAGGAGGATTAGTGCTAGGATCCCTGGGTTTAGGGTTTAGGGTTTTGAGGTTTACGGTTTTAGAGTTTAGGATTTAGGGTTAAGGGCTTAGTAGAGTTTATATGATCCCTCGGTTTATAGTAGAAGCCAGAAAGTTGGAACATGACTTTAGGAGGATTAGTGCTAGGATCCCTTATACTCTACTTTAAGAGCATGAATGTAGTGATGTTCCAACTTACTGGCTTCTACTGTCGGGTTTAGGGTTTACCTAGACCTACTAAACCCTACTTTTTTGTAGGTTCTTATTATAAACCCTAATATGGGATTTAAAGGGACCCTACAAAAACATAGGTTCTGGTAGGTTAAGGTAGGGTTGAGAGTTTACTTGGAAGTTTAGGAGAGGAGTAAGGTATCTACAGTTATGTTGCATTCACCATAGCTCAGGAGTCGACCTGAGCCGTAAATCCTTAAACCCTTAAGCCCCAAGGCCCCGAAACCCTAAACCCGAGTGGTAGGACGGGCTTCGCTGGTTTGCTGAGGCTCCTCAACCCTGACTTAAAGGAGTTTAGGATTCAGGGCTGCGAGCCCAAAGAGGGGGTCTCAAATGGAGTGTCTGTCATCACGTGGTACCCAGAGACTCCAATATGCCTTAGTGAATATTCCTTAAATCATATTAGGGATCCTACTATAACTTAAGGTATATTCCCTAATTAAGGGGTATTGGAGTCTCTGGGTATGGGCCGACTGCGTAGAGTCCCCACATTTGGCACGCCCCGAACACGACGAGCACAACGGGGAACAACGAGCCATCCGGTACAAAGCTACTATTTGCTTAAGAACCCCCCCAAAAATAAAACATGATAATCCCTATATTATCCCTATAAGGAATATATTTTTTATTTTTTGGGGGTTCTTAAGCAAATAGTAGAAAGCCTTCGGTCATGGACCGGACCGACATGCCGGCGCGACGAGCACCACGAGACACCTACAAGGCATACGGTTTCGGACCGGACCGACATTCCTGCCTTATCCACGAGGAAGAGGAAACGCTGTGGCACTGAGCTGGACATCAAAGCAGCCTTTGATGCTACCGCACATGATGCAACCCTAAGCTTTCTCATGGAACTGCCATCGTTGCGACAAGCGGCTGAGCGTCACGACCGCACCGGATAGCAGGTCATCGTGATTTGTGCGTTTGCTGTCCAGCCGGATTCAACAGAAGCTTGGTGCCTGTAGGACCTCTGCCCGGGTTGACTAAAACCCTAAAGCTTAAAATCCTAGACCCTTAAACCCCAAGGGCTCTAGGGGGTTATGCCCTTTGGAGCTCTAGAGCTCTATGCAGCCCTGTGAACAGGTCTTTTGTCGGCTTTTGTGGGTTTAGGGCTTTGGGGTTCAGGCAGGTTTACTAGGTAGGGCTTTGGGACATTTTATATTTGCTCTTATTGGGCTTAAGAGGATCTTACCTACTAATATTTTTAAACGGCTTGAAAAGCACCTCCGAGTTTAGGGTTTGGGTTTATGGGGTGAGCGGGTTTCGGGGTTTAAGGCTATAGGGACCTGCACAGTTGGACTAGGATTCCTCAACGGGTTCCTTTAACGGGATTTATACGGGGGAAATAGAAGGACTTGGTATGGGTGCCGTAATGATGTAGTATTAGGGGTATCCTAACTTTTATATTACAAATATGGTTCTCAGATGGCTCCCTGTACCCCAAAGCCAAAATCCCGAAACCCCAAACCAAACCGAAAGCCCCCAAAACCCCTAAGCCCCATAGCCCGGAAGCCCTAGAGCCCGAGACCCCGAGCCCTGGAGCCAGGGACCCCAAAAGTCGCAAAAATCCCAAAGCCCTACAGCCCTATTAAAAACCTAGTAGTAGAGGAGGTAACCTTTTTTGGGGGTAGTGTCGTCCCTATATAACTCCTATATAATCAAAAAGGCTAACCTTTAATTCTCCATGATACCCGACAAGTAGGAAGAAAAACCCAGAACAAAAACCCTTGCTAGGACCCTGAAAGGAACCCGAAGGGCTAAACCCCCAAAGCCCCCTATAAGTCCTAAAGCCTTAAATCTCTGAGCCCTGAACCCTGAAGCGTAAACCCTAGAACTAAACCCTCAGGCCCTACTTAAAGGATCATGGGACTTAGTAACTAGGGTTACTATTGTGGCAACTATACTTATAATTACTTATAACCACAATTAAGGGACTTATAACTATAGCTACTAAGTCCCATGATCCTCCAAGTAGAACCCAGGGCCCCGAGCCCCGAAACCTTCAGCTCACTGCTCAGGCGGGTAAAAGCCCCGAGATGTCCTTGGCGCCTCGCCTCCTCCGCGAGGTGTTGACCAATTCTACGGTCTTGCATAAGGTTCAGGGGGTTTAGGGTTTAGGGGTTCGGGTTAACAGCGTTTCGGGTTTAGGGCCTCCATCGACATTCTCACAAAACTCCAGAACTTAAGCGGGACAAATCCTTGAAAGCTGGCGCGACGTCTGGTATGATCAGCTCAAGCAGCAGATCTCACAGACGGAAGTGGAGAAAGCGGCGTTTGCTTCTGCCTCACAGAAGACCAGCCAAGACGACGTGGCCGCTGCTCGCTTGAACCGCTTCCTCAGGAAGGCGGTCCCCAGCTACAACGAGGGAGGGCAAGCAACGAGGGTGGCACTCCAGCTCCAGCTAACCCCGGCACTCTGGCTCCAGCTCACCCGCCAGCACACGACTGGGATAGCGATAGCACTGCGAAGAAAGATTGATGCCGAACGGGCAAAAGTTTCGAAGCAGAGAACGGAGAAGTTTCTGGCTCGGAAAAGCCGAGCGAGCCAGCTGGGGAACCCAGAGACTCCAATATGCCTTAATTAAGGAATATTCCTTAAATCATATGAGGGATCCTACTATAATTTAAGGTATATTCCTTAATTAAGGGGTATTGGAGTCTCTGGGAACCGAAGAAGCGACGAAAGGAGGATGATGAAAGAGATTTGTCAAAGCTGCGCGGACTAGGTCAGCACACAAGTCCAGGATCGATTAAAGGACATCCAGCACGTGGCATCAGGACGACTCTTCTTTGCCGCATTGTCATCCGACAATCGTATCGTACACTGGCCTGACCTAGACTCATTCTTTTTTGAATGATGTCTCCGAAAGTCAAATGCCCTCAGAGTGCAGCTGCGCCAGGATCCGGCATTCGTTGAGTCAGGTCTACGAGGTTTTACGGTTTAGGGGTTTGGGGCTTTGGGGCTTTCGGGTTCTGGGTTTAGGTTTTAGGGGTTCAGGGCTTAGGGTTTGGGGTTTAGGATGTTGAATTTGCAATTAGTCAGACTGTTCGCTGCATAAGCCCTATGCAAGTATACCTATCTCTTTCGGCCTCAAACCCCCATCTCTATCATACCCGCGACCTCTGCCCCAACCCCCCCCCCCATAATATGCAGTGTTAGGATTTTTTCCCTGAGGTATACTGCTTCAGGAAGAAGTTTTGGAGCCTCTGTGCAAGCCCATAGCCTCGTACCTCAGAATGAGAAACAAATGAACCACAGTAGCGCTGTAGAGCCGCTCGGACCGGTTTGTGTGGAATTTAGGGTTTAGAGTTTAGGGTTTAGAGGTTTAGGGTTTAGAGGTTTTGGGTTTGGGGTTGAGTGTTTTGTAGGACCATGGTGTCTGCAAGTTTTAAATTGCATGAAAGCCTGCAACACCACACGAACCCTAAACGGTAGCCCACCGAAGCCCGACAGCTTTAAACTCTCAAGGCCCTTGTATTTAAATTCTCAAGGCCCTTATATTTAAATTCTCAAGGCCCTTATATTCAAATTCTCAAGGCCCTTATATTTAAATTCTCAAGGCCCTTATATTTAAATTCTCAAGGCCCTTATGCCCTTATAATATTATACACCCAAGGCCTTGAACCCCTAAGGCCCAAAAACCCTACTTGGAGGGTCGGGGGACTTAGTAAGTAGGTAGTAAGTATAGACTAAGTACCCTAAAAGGGACCCTAATTGGGGTTATGGTACTTATAAGTCTATACAATAACCAGTTACTAAGTCCCCCGACCCTCCAAGTAAGCCCTCAAAACCTTAAACCTTCCTGCAAAAAGGGTTTATTGCACTTAAAACGACACCTACAGGCCCCTGACCCTAAAAGCTTTAAACCGGACCTCATGCAGCAGGTGATGGGCCTCATGGACATGAAAGACCTGAAGGACCTGCGCGTATGGTTTTCAGAGAGCTGGACGGAGATCATTTTAAGCATTCCTTCTAAGAGTCCCTTTCAGGGGTTTCTCTAAGGGTCTGCGATTTGGGAGGGTTTTGGTGGCTCTTCAAAGTCCGAAGGACTCAGTCGTGTATAGTTGTAACTACCACCTTAACCCCAAGTAACCTACCTTTTTAAGGTCTTATATAAAGAAATAAAGAAATCATATTAGGGAACTCTAAAAAGGTAGGTTCCTTAGGGTCCAGGCAAACTTACAACCCTGCTTGCTAGGTATTCTGATCCATTCCTTTTCGAACATTATTAGGAGATCCCAACACAGAGCCCTAAATCAGGAGATCCTGTTTTTTCAAACTGCCCGCGCATATTCGCAGCTCTTCCTAATAAGCCCCATGCGTAGTATCCTAGAATAATGCGGTTCCAGACTTCCCTATAATTAAGGAGTGGTTCTGTGACTTTGTGGGACCTGAACACTGCAGCCTCGTAGGATAGGTTTTGGGTCTGTTCTGGCGGGGTCGTTGTAGACCTTTACGGTGAGGAAATTCCTTTGGATGGTGTTTCTTGTGTATGTATATACAGTTTAGTGTAGGGGGGTCTGCAAACAACTGGTTGCCAGTTCAAGTCAGTTCATAGTTGCCTTTACGAGCGGGAGTAACTTCGGTTCAATTCAAGTTGGAGGTCCCACACGGTTCCGAGAATTGCTGCACTTCTGGGTTCACTCTCTATAGGACGGAGCGACCTAAGCCCCACACTCCTAGTCCAATTTCTAATTATTCAGGCTTGAATCTTTTGAGCTCAGGGGCCGGGATGTGGATATCACATCAGTGCAAGGCAGAAGCCAAAGTACGCCCAGCAGGTTATGGAAGTGAGCTGACGACATGTCGGTTCCTGGTGGAGGGTCCCGAAACGCCTAACCTATACCGTGGGGCTTCATCAGACATCGGCTCGGCCGCAGAATCCGAAGACAGCCATGCTGAAGCCCGTAGACAGCGAATCATCGAGTGGGGGGCCCGCCGGAGACAAAAGAGGAGGTGCTGTCGGCACGCACCGATCTGCTGACCCCAGAGCTGGAACGCCATCGACCGCCAGTGCCAGTGGGACCTCGCGTATGGTTCTTACTCAGCACAGACCCGTTAAGCAATATCAGGCAGAGCTCTGTCTGGCCCTGGCAGCAGGTTGCAGTGACTTGCGCACAGGGTTGTCCTATCTGCTATCTGGACGGAGAGCAATGCTGCCAGGTCATCCCAAGAAGTGTACCCTGCTAGGGCCCCCAGTGGTACTTTCTTTCCCCAATTTCCCCCAATTCAAAGTGAAGTCTCCTACTTAGAAACAGAAGACAGAAAAGGGCATCCTCAGCTTGAAGGGATTGCTGGGGAACCTGGACTGGTTCCTGTCCTGGTAGACCACAGTTCAACATCCCGTAAGGAAGCCGTGTTCTGGAAAGTAAGGTTCAAGCTTTACGCTTATGTATTAAGGTTGAAGGTTTGCGCTTCGACCGCCGGTAGAAGGTCGCCCTTGAAGGCCCGTTTACGGGTTTGTCGTCTGAGGTGTTGGTCCAAGCTTGCTCCCTGCGACGCTCGGATTTAGGATACCTGGCCAGGCCAAGCCCGTAAAACCCAAGTTCCCGAACCATCGCATACCTTCCCAGAGAACCTAATACCCCTTAATTCAGGAATATGCCTTAAATCATGGGGGCCTCAATATATTGATTTAAAGCATATTCCTAAATAAGGGGTATTGGGATCTCTGGGTTCACTTCCCACTTTCAACTCAGATTGCTGAACCCAAGGCCGACACCGCACAGACGTGTAGCCTTCAGCCCTCGTCCCGGCCATTCTCAAAATTTAGTGGTTAGGTGTCGGGTTTACGGTTGAGGGGTAAGATTTCAGGATTTAGGGCTTTAGGCCTGAAATTTAAAGATCCACCAGGATCGAAATTCGCAATCCTCTTGCCACGAAGGAGTCGAAGCTGATCTTCAAGCTGGCCAGATCTGCTCTGGTCCTGCTTTCCCTGGAGGTGCCCCCCCCCCCCAGATGAGTGGGGTTTTGGGGTTAGTCTGCACGGTTTAGGGTTAGGGTTTGGGGTTTAGGGTTTCAGGGTTTAGGGTTTAGGGGTTTAGGGTTGAGGGTTTAGGGTTGAGGGGTTTAGGGGTTTAGGGTTTAGGGGTTTAGGGTTGGGGTTAGTACTTAGTAGTCTATGGCTGTATGGTTCGATGTTGATTGGTAGGTAGATCCATAGATACATAGAGCCACTTTGAAGGGAGATTAGCAATTCGTTTTTTGGCCTCAAGCTTATTCGTAGCTGGGTAGGTAACGCTTCGCCTTTTGGGGGTTTATATAACCCGACCATACTTGAAAGGGTTTAGGGTTTGTTTTGGGCTAGGGTGCTCCGCCCCTAAGTCGAACCGAAATCCGATCCATGGCCAGGTGGCTACACAAGGTGTCCCCGTCTCGGGTGTTCAGGCTGCCTACCAGAACATTTCTCAGGCGCCCTTCTTGAACCTTGATTTCAAGTTCAGGGTTGAGGCTCTAGGGTTTAGGTTTTGACGTGTTGATTTGGATTCGTTTCTGGTCGAATTCTTGAGACGTTGAAGGACTTGAATTTGGATGCACACACACACACATGTTGGTTGATGGCTCAAGATCCATTAAAACCATGGTCCATGTATCTAGGCCCCTAGCACAATTGCAGCCCATGGGTTTTCGCATGTGGCGTTCACAGAGAAGCCTCAGTAGTTGTTGTGTCGACAATATTAATATAGGGACTTTAGTTAGCATAGGCACCTAGTACAATGTCATACCACAGTTTAAGCATCCCCCACACGCTGGTGGCCCAAGTAGTGATTGAATGAGTGTGTGGTGGGGGAGCAGCTGGGGGCGGATGACTTCTGCACTCGAAACAGAGACTGGTTGAACAGGTATGTTCCTTACGGGTCTTCGTCGTAAGCGCCTCAACTTGTTTTCCAGATTCTCAACTTCCGACCCGTAGATAGACCCTGAACAGCAGGATCGTTTTAGTACGTACACCTGAACGAGCCTGCCGAAGCACGGTGTAGAACTTGCGGGAAGTCTGGGCTGTCGCTTGTAGAGCTCAGGGACTTAGCGGGTCAAGGTCTGAGGGTTAAAACCTCCCGGTAGAGCTTACGCTCTTGCGTTACGAGGTTCAGGATGTAGGGCCCAGGGCATTGACGTTGGGTTTGTGGTGTACTCTAGGGTTTACTAGAGCGATGCAGACTCTGTACACCACCATGAACCTGAACCCCTTGAAGGGACTTTCAAGCCCTAAACCCTAAAACCTAAACCCTGAGCCCCTTGAAGGGCCTTTCCAGCCAAACCGACGAAGGTGCTCTTCAAATATTCTCAGAAGGCCTGTGCCCCGGATCTGTCGGTTGGCTTGGGGCTTAGGGTTTAGGGGAGAATTCGATTGGAAGCTTTGGCGATGATGGTTTTGGACTTTACCGTTTAGGTTTCAGTTTCCAGGATCTCGGATTCTGTGGCTACACATGGAGTCGTGAGAATTCTTTCCGGTGCTGGGGGCGATAAAAGGTGAGGCACAGTAGAACGACCAATGTTTAGCGTGGCGGAGTCAATGACATCCTTCCTAAATTCATAACATGTCATAACTCCATATTACAAAGCTTGTCAGAGGTTTAAGAATTCCAGGCTTGTCTCACATGGTGCCTTGTGGTCAGCCCTTACGATGCCTTCAAAGATCGTAAGCAGACTTCAATGGGTGCTAAGACACTGGATGAAGCTGCCATTTGAATCCGCAGCGGGTCAGACAGGGCACTGCAGCTGCTCTTCTCCCTTTCACGTTTGCGGGCGCTGCACCCTAAACCCTAAACCCTAAGCCCTAAAGCCCTAAACCCCAAACCCTAAACCCAAAAAAGAGATTCGGAGATGGAGGCTCAGCACGGAAAGCTTGTGGGGTCGTTGGGTGCGGTGTCATCGCCGGATTTTTCCCTGGCAGCGCCAGACCCCATTCCTGAGGATGAGAGCTTCTGATGGAGCAGCTATATTATATTAGGGGCCTAAATACATCTGTCAGTGTTTTTGTTAACGGCCAGGGCCCTGAGTGAGACGATGCCGACTCACCCAGAAGTCCTTCCCCCTGGGAGTGTGTACAAACACGTAAGAGAGAGAAGACACCGAACAATCGGTGCCAGAGGCAACCGTGTCCGGCACACCGAACTATCGGCGCCAGAGGGAACCGTGTCCGGCGCCCCTCATCTCTTCCACAGTGCATAGTGCAAAAGGAACAAGGAAACACATGATGACCGAGCTCTGGATCATTCCGCGTTGACCATTTTCCTTTTTTGCCATTCCGTGCTCGCCATTCATGCCATTTAAGTTAGGGCAACCGACGACTTCAGGACAAGCAAAGGGGCCGTAGTCCAGGTTGGAGTGCCAAAGCGTATTTTCATATTTAGCACGTTATTTAGAAATCATTTGTTTTTGGAGGCACTGGGAGACATTGATGGAGCTTGGGTTACGCTTGGCATGTGATGGTACGCTCGACATCTCCAACAGCCGCATCAAACTGATTGCTGTTGGTTGGTTGGCGCATCATGTGCCCCCTCGAGCATCGAAACTACATTTGTTCTTGGTTTCGCTTTATCGCCGAGCGAGAATCATGTGGCGGTTCGCATGCTTCTTGAAAGCCTAGATGCACACATGCGTGAGCATGTTCCTGATGGCTTGCGGAATGCATCTGTTGCTCACCTTGATGGTGGCCCTGCTTTGGTTAAGGGCTTTTTGGAGTTTTTTGGCCAAGATTTCCAGTTGGTCCGAAGCCTCGAGCATGTCAAACGCAACATCCGGGACCAGGGCCTGAAAAAGCTGACGCAACGCTCTTGGTGGGCCTCTACCAAAAGCTGAGTTTCGAAAAGCGCCTTCATTCGCAATGACCACATGTTCGATCGGTACTGGCACCACTGCTTCCAACTCCTGGCGAATGCCGGTGAAGCGGATTTCGTCGCGTACCTGCAGACGGAGCATTTCCAGAAGGATGCAGGTGTATGGACGGCCGCCTGGCGCGCGGCAATCCTCGACCCAGGCTATGGTTCCTACTCACTGAATGCAGTGGACTCCTTTTGGAAGTTGCTGGATCGCTATGTCCCCGAGGAGAAAACTTTGCCGTTGAGGCAGGTTATGGAGCCACGAGCCGGGTTTTCCACAATGATGGGAAGTGGAGTGCCTTGATTGTTGCACCATCGACGCTGGTGACCCCCACGTTGGTTGGGGGACGTATCAGCCGAGTTGAGCCCCAGCTTGGATTGGAAGGATGATAAACAAGTGGGGCGTATGAGCAGCAGGACGTTGGAACGACTGTTTGCGCAGGAGGCCACCTTGATGTTGGAGTTCAAAACGGGCAGGAAAATGCCACGAAGGTGTTTTGCAAGTATGGCCCGTCGGACTACAATGCCGTGGAAATTCAAGCTTTGTCCGAACTGGAGCGTTCCACATCTTAAGCAACAGTAGACGCTGCTCTCCAGAAGATTGGAGCCTTGGATGCTGATGGCATCCACCCGCGGCGGGTCAGTGCCACCTATGAGCAATTGCCTATATTATTTTGGGGGTTACCCGGTATAATCATAGTACAATGGGCCACAAAGCCCTATTCTGATTATTACGGCCCCTATAGACACATCAGGTGGCAGCCATCTTGTCATAGCAGCTGGTTATGTAGACGATGTGGAACACTACGGAAGTGGGCTGAGTTACCTCCCCCCGTCTGTTTTCCTATATGCGTGTATACTCTATTCAACATACAAAACCATTCGATTTACTACTTCTACTACAGCCAACCTAGATTCGCCTGTAGACTCAAATTCAGACATCAGGCATCGGTTGCAGTCCTGCCTGAGTTGATTGTAACCGAGTTTGTGAGGTCGACGACCCCCGGACCCTATATGAAGTTTAGAGTCTGGGGGGCTCTGGTGTGTCTATACTATATGGGGGGCTTTTGGGGTTCTATTACGCGGATGCTCGTAATTCGAAATGCGGAGTTAATGTGAACTTTGTAGCCCACGCAGAGCTATGCAAAAGTTTGCAGCCTACAAAACCCTTAAACCCTAGAACCCTGAAGCCCTAAACCGCAAACCCCCAACAGCCCGAAAGTATTAAACCCTATCGAGGAAGGCAATGACACCGAGTTCCTCTCCGAGAAGCTTATCGAGCCCCTCCTCGAGGCAGGGGAGGACTTGGGACTTGGGAAGGGCACGGTTTATTGTTTTGGGATTAGGGTGGGATCAAGCAACTTACTGGGTTGTGGAGTACAATACTCGGATACTCTTTCCGCGACTTGTTACTTAAAAGGAACCTTATGAAATCAACATCTATGCATTTTCCCCCGGGTTACTTCAACACCCGGCTTAGCAAGTGTTTAGGGTTCAGTGTTCAAGGTTTTTTAGCTTCGGATTTAAGGCTTAGGGTGTAGGGTGAGAGGAGGTCGAAGGCCTAATATTGGGGTTTTGAATAACTGCTCGCATCATTCCGGAGGGTTGAGTAGACTTATTGTGTAATATACCCCGAAAGCTTCATTCTAGTTGTAAAACTGCCTATTAGGTCCCGTGATCCTTCAAGCAGGGGTTTTATGCGGTATAGGCTTTGCAATGCTAGTTTGGATGCATCTAGCGGGGCCCATCATAGGGATCGGATTCAATAATCCCAAACAGAACTGTTGTATCTTGAACTTCGCAGCCCATTCGACCTCACAGTTCGGGCCTCAGTCGTTTAGGGCGTTCTTGATTAGGAGCTGAAAGGTGTTTAGCAGTCGAATAGCAATGACACTGAAGCACTGAGCCCTAGCTCATCAAGAAACAGCACCTTGTGATGGTGATACCAATCAGATACTCCTTACCGTTGCAATCCCTCTAGGCCTGTGCTTTCAAGGTTTGGGTTTAGGCTTCTGGACTTGGTTTTGAGCTGTTTAATTGCGGTTCTGAATTGGGTTGGGGTTTCTGGAGAGCTGTAGGGCTAACAGGATCCTCGCCTAGGTTTTCCACAGTTTTTGATAGGGATATCGCAGCTACCGTAGACCTCAAGTCCTAACGCTAACACATAGTCAAGATTTAGGGTTTGGGGTTCAAGGTTTAGGGTTTCATACGAGGCCCTTTCAACACCTGTCAAGCCTTTCAAACGAATAAAGGCACTTCTTCGGATCAGCGCACTTAATTAGCCCTAAACTCCGCAAGCCTTCGCCAGCCCTGATCCACACATCGTGCACACATCGCACGCACAAGGTTTTACCTAGAAAGGAACACAGGAGTAATAACCTTCATGTTTCTGCAAATGACTAAACGTGACTAAGCGCATCAACAATCCAACCACTTGAAGTGCAGATCTATGTGTGTATTAATACATATATATATATATATGTATATATATATACATATACATACACACCCATGTCTGTAATGTACAGAATGTATGTACATATAACTCATATAAATGCCTCTTGTAGTTTATGTTTACATATATATATATATACATATGTGTGTATTCAATATCTGTGTGTGTATACAGCTATATAAAACTAAGCAAGCAAGCAGGCAAGTAAATCAAACGAGCGTAGGTTCTGGAGTCCGAGAGCCCCGCGTGCTGCGCAGCGGATCTTCGGGTCACTGGCCTCAGCGGAGGGGCTCTTCGAGGTTCAAGCCTGGGCCCTTTACCAGGACCCCCCAAGGGCCCATAACCCCCCATCAATGGAGCCCTCATGGTCCTTAACCGTGGTATTTAGGGTAGTTGGGAGGTCTAGGTAGGGTTTAACATGCTTTAGGATTTACTGTTTGTATTCGTCTATAAGGGTTTCATCATCGTTTATGGTTTGCGGGTGAATGGTTGAGGGGTTTGTAAGGGTTCAGGGCTTATAGTAGCGATTCGTGTTGGGGAGGGGTCCCACAACCATTCCTGCAGGGCATTTAAGAAATGAGGATGGGGTTTCCTGGATGAGACTGAGCTGGGGCCTGCGCACGCTGAGCTTTATCACCCTAAAGCCAGTTCAGGGTTCAGGGTTTAGAGTTTTGATTTTAGGGGTTTGAGGTTTTCGGGATGTAAGGGTTTAGGGTTTACGCGTCCAGAGGTACTAGGGTTTGAGGTTAAGGGTAAAGGGCTTATATATAGGGTCTGAAGTTACAGAGGGCGGGGCCCGGTTCCATGAGTCATGTCCATGAAATTTAAGATTTGATGGTTTGACGTTCAGGGTGTAGGGTTAGGGTCATGTATTAAACCCTTACTAAGCCATGGAGCGTGAATCTGAAACCTCAGCCTCAACCGTGGACCCCTCAACTCTAACTAGGATCCCCAGTAGTACCCTTATTCCCTTTTTCTAGTCCTAGGTTCCTTATAAAGTTACCCAATACCAAAAACAGAGGCCTTTTTATTCTTAGGTTACTGGGTATCCTAGTCTAGACTCTAAACCCCAACACTACCCTTGGGACCCCGACCAGCAAGAAGCAATCAACAGCTGAATGCTTATGGCTACTCGCATCTTTAGGGTTTAGGGTTTACCAGCACCCCCCAAGTACCGTTTAGTAGAGCCCTTATGGTCCTTAATAGCGGGTATTTAGGGTATAATAGAGGGTAGTTGGGGGGTGCTGGTAGGGTTTAGGGTTTAGGGGTTTAGGGTTTAGGGTGTAGGGGTTTAGGGGTTTAGGGTTTAGGGGTTTAGGGTTTTCAGAAGCTTTCAATCTTCGCATCGAGCCCGAAAGCTCTTCGGTCCGGAACCCTGGTCCCTTCAAGCCCCAACCCGCCAAAAAGCCCTTCCCTACCTGTAGCCGAAAAGGACCCGCTTTTTCATTCTTTAGGGACTTTAGGGTTCCTTAGTATGTTTTTTTTGCATGGTTCCTTAAAACCGTAGGTTTGTTCGGCTACAGGTAACCCTTCAGAAAGTCATCGGTGGATATGTAAAAGGCTGTCGCTTTCAACGTGTGCCTCTAAGCTTTCAAGGGGAAACCACCGGGGGGTGTATAGCTGGTCTTTTGTTGAGGGATCTACATTAATTAAACTACCATAATAGGGATCTTTTGTAAATAATAGGGGGTTTCCTTCTTCTAGTAGCTTGAGTTAGATACCTTAACCCAAACCCTAACCCCCTAAACCATGAACTCTAAACCCTAAGTCCTAAAACCCTTAAAGGAACCCTTAAAGGAACCCTTCTAAGGGTTCTAGTAGTACCTTAAATTAAATTCCCTTAACAAGAACCCAGATGGGAGTTTCCGAAAATTAGGGGTACCTTAATTGGAGGTCCTTATAATAAGGATCCTACTATTTAGTGTACTATCTTAGGGTCCCCTATTTTCGGAAACTCCCAATTAGATCCCTTCAACAAGAACCCAGATAGTGGGACGAGGTGTACATCGTGGGCATCCTCAAGAACGTCTCCAACGACACAGCAAATCAGAAGTCGGAATCTCGGGTTCTTGTTAAGGAGTTTAATTTTCAGTTACCATAGTTAAGGGGGATCTACAAGGGTTCCTTTGAGGGTTTAGGGTTTGGGGGTTTAAGGGATCAAGGTTTAGGGGTTTAGGGGTTAGGGTTTAGTTTAATTTCAGCCACCATAGTAGGGATCTACTATAGTAAATAACAGGGGTTCCCTATGATGGTAACTCCTAGTCCCTAAACCCTAACCCCTAAACCATAAAACCCTATAGCCCATATAGAACCCTGAAAGAGCCCTTAAAGGAACCATATGTTAAATCCCTTGGCAAAAGCCCTGGCAGTCGGAATCTCGAGACCAACGCCACGGGTTTCAAGCTCTACTGCTCTTTGGAAACTATGTTTTCTAAAATGTGTTCTCAACCTAAGGGTTTAGGGTGTAGAGTATAGGGTTTAGGGTTTCGGGATGATATAACTTGAGGGGATCAATAGGAATGTGGTTTTTGTTCTGGTTCTAAGGAAGTCTAAGCATGCCGCTTCTGTAGGGTTAAGGGCCTACAGCTCAGTGCTCAAGCTGTAGTGTTGTTTTTGGGCGGGTGGGTTAGGATTTGTGGGGTTTCGAGTTCATAGACTTGAACTTGTTGCGATATACAGACAACGTTATAAGACTCGGCTATTGTTGGCAGTCTTTGGTTTACGATCTCGGCAACGAAGCTTACCACTTCGCTTTTGTGTGTCTAGTGCCGGACTAAACCTTTCCTAAATACTATTGGACGAGCGTATGTTCCATACGGGTTCTATCAAGAGTTCTGTTCACTCTATAATAACGGGCTCTGCGAGGGTTCCATGTTTAAAGGACCCGGAAACATAGAAAGGGTTGTAAGTAAGGACAAATTGTAGTGCTGGGATTCCCTATACATTACTCAAAAGGATAGAGGCTGTTGGGTTTCCAACTTTTGGGCTTTTCCTGCACACCCGAACCCTGACCCTAAACCCAAACGCAAAGCCCTAAACACTTCAACCTGAACCACTCCAAGCAGGGGTTCCTGATTTTGGCCCCAAAAGGAAAGCCGCAATCCCAAAAGAGACTCGGCCAAAACTTGTCCCCCTGTTCTTTGGCACCAAAGGAAAGCCACACTCCGAATACAGATTCGGCCAAAACTTGTCCCCTGTTCTTTGGGGTGGAGGGAGCGGTCCCAAAGGAAACCCGCAATCCCAAAAGAGATTCGGCCAAAACTTGTCCCCCGTTCTTTGGGGTGGAGGGAGCGGCCCCAAAGGAAAGCCGCAATCCCAAAAGAGATTCGGCCAAAACTTGTCCCCCGTTCTTTGGGGTGGAGGGAGCGGCCCCAAAGGAAAGCCGCAATCCGAAAAGAGATTCGGAGCCGAGGAGCAAGCAATCCAAAACGAATTCTTGGTAAAACAGAAATGGGAATCAAAATGCTTGTCGTGTGTCCTCCTCGCGTGCGCTTCCTGGAAACCACGTGCTGCATGGCAGTTTCGAGGGCTAACCTTGCGCGCGTCTTTTCTCACGGCCGTGCAGGGATGCGACAAGGTCACGACCTCTGGTCGCGCGCTGCTCTACGCAGCCGCCGAAGTGCATCTGCCTGCGACTCAGTTACTACATGTGGCGTCGAGCGTGGCAGCACCAAGGATACATCATGTGCGGAATGAAAGCATGGCAGGTTTCCTCCGCAGCCGCTTTGATCTGCCAGCAAAAAGAAACGAGAATGGCTCAGTCTCCCTCCGAGGCGAGAGGGCGTGAAACAATAGATTAGGACAGGAAGGTGCAAGCTTGGGGGGGCAACTCCGGAGGTGGTCGTGGTGGCGCGTGTGTTGGCGCGAAACGTGCTGACCGGTGTTTCCCATCAGGTGGGACTGCTTCCCGGTCTGGCCCCTCTGCTTCTACACTCTTCTGCCTTTGTCCTTGAGGTGAGGGCCTACCGTGGTTGGCAACGCGTCCTCCGGGATCACCTCGGCCGCACACGACCGCAGGACACGATGGATGACGTCTACGTCATCACCATCTTCACCTCGGCGGACGGCGTGAAAGTGAGCTGCGACTCACCGGAAGACTGGGAGAGAGCGGGAAAGCAAATGGAGGTACAATATTACCTCCAGTGGCAGTAGCTCACCCAACTAGGAGGCTCGGTGGCCGTCGTGTCACGCTCCAGGATGGGTGGGCCAGGATCAGGCAGGTGACGAACAGCTTCATACTGGAAAAGCGCGGATGCCAGCTGGACCCGATTCCAGAATCATTCCCATACCGCACTCCGGTTTTGACGGCTTCGACACGAACTCGTGGCAGCCGGAGTTGTAGCTAGGAGGGCACTTCAGGATTATCCGGCCCCAAAAAAAGCGCTCGCTTTTGTTGACAGGTGCAGAAAAGGAAGAAAGGCGTCCAAAACAAAATCCTCAATGCCAGGAGGCCAGGGGGGCTTGGGGAGTTTTACATGCTGATGCGGGGGTCTCCCCATGGCAACGTTCTTCGCTGAGCTCTGCCAGCACGCGAAGCGCCGTGCTTTCCGGCTCCATCCGACGGAAGCCGCGGCGGAGGAGGTGGCAAGTGCCGCAACGAGGTGCACAAGAGTCGAGGTTTCAACTCGATCCATCAAGCCTCAACCTTAAACCCTAAACCAGTCCTAAACCCTACTTAGATGGATCAGGAAACTTAGAAAGCAGAGCCAAAGTGCCCTGATTGGGTTAGGCCTTGGGGTTTTAGGGTACTTAAAACGGACTAGGGGGCTTCGTAAGTAGGGTGGTCAGTGCCTTGATCGGGTTACCAGCACCCTCAGGCGTATCCCTCTGTTCCGTGTTTTGCTGTGGGGGTCCGCCTCAGCCTCCGCATGAAAACATAATCGTGTCTTGGGGGGGGCTAGTGGGCAACTACGACGAAACCCGACAAGTGACACGTCCTGTTTTCTTTGATCATGTTCTTTCCACTTGCGAGTGCCATCCTGCATCAAGCGAAGTTTGGCTGAAGGAATGTTGATCCTGTTTGAGCCCCGAATTGAACCCTCTGAGCCCTAAGCCCTAAACCTTCAACCCCGATCCCAAGATGCTGTTGTAATCCCTGAGCCCTACTCCCCAAACCTCAGACCTGGCCTTTGCAGGAGTAGAGTGTCGGCTTTGGGTCAGGGGTTTCGGGTTTACGGGTTCAGCGGCTTCGGGTAATTATGGGCTACGTGGATTCACCGAGCGTTTTTGTCGTTTGGGCATTTAGGAACAACACGGAAGTGCTTAGTATGTTCTTTACCCTTAGCCCTACTCCCTAAACCCTAGACCTACGGTAGCTCGATGGAGATTCAGGGGAGTATGAATTTGGGTTACAAGTAGATATGACACTAGTTACCTTACGTATAACCCGACTCACTAAGACCCCAAGTATCGCCCTAAACCCTGAACCCCTAACCCCCGAACCTCAAACCTCAAAAGCCTGCTCTAAGCGCAAGAGCTGTCGGGAGAGGTTTTTGGCGCAGCGCGGAGCTGTGGGCTCATTGCTCCCTGGCCTCGGATCGGGTTTTGCTTTCTGTACCTGCTACAGTGTAGCAACCTCACGGTTTAGGGTAGGAACCTGACAAAGAAACCCTGGGTCTTCGTTAGGGCACTATGTCGTATGAATCCTAAGACTTTGGGATTATAAGAAGTTACAAGGCAACGGTTTCTTAATCAGGTTCTTACATCACTGTAATGTACGGGTGTGATCAAGTTGAAGAGGGTTCCTATCAAAGAGTCCATAAGGGATACTCTCAGGTTATCATGTTTGCCAGTGCTTGAAGGGGTTAGTATAGGGGCAATACAGTGAGAATAGAGTCTTGGGGTACGTCATACCATATACATATTCGGAACCATCAGTAGTAGCAGTAGCAGTAGCAGTAGCAGTAGCAGTAGCAGTAGCAGTAGCAGTAGCAGTAGCAGTAGCAGTAGCAGTAGCAGTAGCAGTAGCAGTAGCAGTAGCAGTAGCAGTAGCAGGAGCAGGAGCAGGAGCAGGAGCAGGAGCAGGAGCAGGAGCAGGAGGAGGAGGAGGAGGAGGAGGAGTAGGAGTAGGAGTAGGAGTAGGAGTAGGAGTAGGAGTAGGAGTAGGAGTAGGAGTAAGAGTAGGAGTAGGAGTAGGAGTAGGAGTAGGAGTAGGAGTAGGAGTAGTAGTAGTAGTAGTAGTAGTGCTGCATTGGCAGGCCAAATGTGCCGCAAACCTTATCACTGCCAAGGCCGGCAGAGAGAACGCAACAACCCCTGAACTGCCTAAAGCCCTGATCCTTAACCCCAGCAGCAAACCTTAGATCTTTCAAGCCCCTTCAGCAAAATTTGTCAATTGAATGGAAGCATGGAAAATGTTAATAAGAGCGAGACGAAGTTGATATCAGAATACTGCAAAAGCTAGACTCCATCGGGACGAAACGATAAGCCCTAAACCCCTAACCCTAAGCCCCCTCCCATCCCCCTTCACAAAAGAAAAGCATAAAGCGATAAAACTTAACCCTCAGCCCCAAAAAAAGCAAGCCCCAAAACCCTAAACCCTTGAAAGGAACCCCTATAGATCCCTTAACAGAGGCCTTAAAGGAACCCTTATAGGAGCCCTTAAGGTTCAAGCTCTTGGATCCCACCAAGCTGGTGGTTGGCGGGCCCAGAGTGGGGCTAGTTGCGATTTGTCTATAAGGGTTCCTTAATATTCCTGAAATGGATCTATAAGGGTTCCTTAAAGGAATCTATACTTTCTAGAGTTTCGAGTTTAGGTCTGTGGTGGGTTTTTTATAGATGTTCAAGTGGGTGTTCGAAATACCTCAAACTCTAAACCGTTTTTCTGGTAGTATAGGAATCTCGGACTCAGGGCTAGTGTTGAGGTTTCTACTGTCTTCGGGCTTCTCGTTAAGCTGTAAAGCCTAAAGGTTTTCCGCCCGGAGATTAAAGCTTGGGGTTCTTAGAGGGTGTCCGGGATTTTGACTATGGGGGTTCCTGCAGAGCCTACTGTAAGGATCCTACACAGGGTCACTTAAGGGTTCAGGGTCTTTGAGGTTACTTGGGGGGCCGGGGGACTTAGTAACTGGTTATTTTAAGGACTTATAAGTACCATAACCCCAATTAGGTTCCCTTTTAGGGTACTTATAAGTCTACTTACTACATACTTACTAAGTCCCCCGACCCTCCAAGTAGGGTTTACGGTTTGAGGTTCACGGTTTTGGGGTTTCAGGTTTAGGGGGCTCAGGGTCTGCAAGTCGAAAACTTCTTACTCTAAACCCTAAACCTGAAGGGTTCCGGTTAGCTTTTTGTGTCGGGGGTTTAGAGGTTCGAAGTTTAGGGGTTTGGGGGGTTTAGGGTTTGAGGGTTTAGGACCAGCTTAAGTAAGGCATCTTGAATTGTATGCAGGGAACCCCGTATTGCCTTCAGCCTTGTAGCTCGACTTACTGAGTAGAGTAATTCCAGAAGCATTGCAGTGCGTTCGATAAGGCTGACCCGAGATTCCCAAAACACCAACAACATGAGAACCCGACACCAGACACCTCTCAGATAACGCACAACTGCTCAGGTATATAAACTAAGACCTAGAGTAGGCCCTTATTCGCTTTTTTGAGGGTTCAGGTTCCCTTCTAAGCCCCTTTAAACCAAAAAGGGCACCCTTTTTTTTCCTAGGCTACTCTTGGGTCTAGTAAACAACCCGAAGCATCGAACTCCTGTGAACAACCCCCATAACACCCACCCCTGACATCCTGAACCTTTGCCAGGACCCCCCAAGGGAACTTCAATAATTAGAGTTGTTATGGCCCTTAATAGTGGGTATTTGGGGTATATTATGTAGAGGGTAGTTGGGGGGGGGGGTGTAAGCAAACCTTAAACCCCATGCCCTGAACCGTAAACTGGGCTTTGGAGTAGCATACTTTAATACTTTTTTCGGGGCCTGCTACTGAAAGGGAACCAATTATGAGAAAAAAGTCTATACTGTTTTTCCCCCTGGTTACTGCAAAGCCCAGTAAACCCTAAACCCCGTGCCCTGAACCTTAAAGCATCCCACTTGCAGGGTGGCGCCAAGGAGGCACCTTTGCTCATCCAAGCGACCGCTGCGCTGAGGACTCCGACGAGCTCTTCATGGGTCTCGGGGTCCTATGGTGCAGGGCTTAGGGTTTAGGGTTTAGGGTTTAGGGTTTAGGGTTTAGGGTTTAGGGTTTAGGGTTTAGGGTTTAGGGGTTTAGGGTGCTTATAGAGTTTATGCCTGTAGCCGAAAAGACCTAATGAAGGAACTTAATTCAGAAACCCCGGGCCTATGAAGCCCCAACTAGTAGGATTCATATAAGGAACCCTGATAAAGGCCCAAGGTTTTCTGAATCAGGTTCCCACATTACCTTTTTTGTGTCAGTGAGGGGCTACTATTGGGTTCTATTGAGGGTCCGGGGTTCAGGTTTGGGGTGGTAGGGTGCTAGGGATTTTGGGAGTTTCCGAACATAGGGGACCCTAATATAGTACCCTGAATAATAGGATCCTTACTATAAGGACCCCCCAAATAAGGTACCCCTAATTTTCGGAAACTTCCAAATAGAGGTTTGCGGGCTTAAATACGTTCTTTTCCTAAGCCCCAAATGCTAAACCCCTGTATCCTAAATCTTCTTCGGTGTCCTGTAGTTTATCGGTCCTATTCTCCAGTGCTTCCGCGCAGGGGGTTACGGGCTTTTAGTATTTAAGACAGTAGCGAAGCGGCCACGCCCTCTGTCCACACCGCAGCCGTAGCAAGGCCACTCCATCGGTGCACACGATAGTCGGCGCAGGGTCCAGACGCTGGGGGCCCAGTGAGGCCACTGCTTCGGTGCGCGCCGTGGGCTCGAAGTCCGGACGTCTGGATTACCTTAAGCCGGAATAACCTACCGTTTTAGGGTTCCTTGTTATGATTTCCTTATATAAGTCCGTAAAAAACGGGAGGCTATTCCGGCGTAAGGTAAACCCTAAACCTTCGTGGCTACGACATCCGGAGGGCCTGGGCACGGTGAGGTCACTCCTTTGGTTCACACCTGTGTGGCTAAGTTTACTAATCGCCTGAACTACTTAGAGTAGAAGCCAGAAAGTTGGAACATGGCTTTAGGAGGATTAGTGCTAGGATCCCTTCTGCTTTACCTTAGGAGCACGTGGATAATTATGTTTCAACT